CTTTACCGATGACAATACCGATTGCCCAGGCCTCACCACGAGGAGGTTGCTGCGAGTGGAGGCCCAAGGCAAGTAGATGGAATCACAAGTTCTACATCTACCCACCTTTAACAATAAACCTTATAAATAACTTAAATCTTAACTATATAATACTACCGGTACTAAAATCATTTACTCCCCCCATAGACCCCTGAAATTCCTCCAACACCGACGGAGAGCACCGATACCGCAACTCGCTCTACCGCTCTCGTTTATTTATGATGTTCATATTCCCCAAATAAATATCATATTTAACTAATTTGTTTAAGCGACATGTTCCTTTTAAAGATTTAGCTCTCCAGTATAAATCCCTAAGACCCTTATTTATTATTCATTTCACAAAATAATTGCAAATATGAAACTTCTTTACCTCTTCTTGAACATTCTAATTTCATAGCCCTAAACTGGGTACCTGAAAGTATTTCGTTGAATTTGTGTAAAAGGTTGTACTACTTCCTAAAAGACTTCCTGTGATATTTGATAGCCTAAAAAACAATGTGCCGATACAGGGTTTCGATTTTTGTACGAAACTAATCTGACCAGTTGCTGCATTCTTTGACACCAATTTTCAAGAAAATACAACTTCTGTATTTCACTTAATTTGAGAGACACGTAGCTGAATATTAACATACGTTCATTATTTAATTACTCGCAATAAATAAAATTTTTGGAAGTAAATAACGTGTAAGTAAATTCATATGTAAAAATTTATCAATTGCCAGAAAGTAATTCTTCGTGCGTATTAAAATTCTTACAATAGGCAGTAAAACTATTCACACTCCCATATAAATTATAAATATGTAGATGTTAATGAAAGCGATGTATATATTCTCCCACATGTAGATTTGATAAACTATTTATGAAACTACATCTATTCTGAATTTATCTGTTACAAATATACAAATGTATGGCAAGATATAAAAACGAATAAAACAGGAACATGTAAAAAGTAACATTATCCCTTACACTTAAACTGAAGCATCGGATATTTTTATTCTCGTGAAATCATATAGATACACGTAATATGAATGGAATATATAACACTTCATTTGTGCTAATAATACTCAGAATTCATGCTTATCGGTAACGTCGGATATTGACACTAAAATGGTAACAGGGCTACGTAGCCCTATGAACGTAGGACAGAAAAAAGCATTGGATGATAGGTCTATTCTATACCTAGTCGGTGATCAAACTCACCGAAGTTTCATACGCTTTCTGCGAGGTGGTAGCACCTTCAGTCTTTTAAATTTTAGCGCTTTCTATCACATCTGTGGCGGCGACCTGTCCCAAGGTCGTATCAGGTATATAGACCCTTCAAGGAAGTCTGAGCCAGTGAAAATACTTTAATTCTGTCTGTTAGATAAACAAAGTGATGCGTGTATATATTACATAGATACGCCTGATACCTGCAGGGTTATGTAGGCATTTATAAATCTGATTGTCGTAAATGGTCGTAAAACAATGTTATTGGTAACAGCTGAATCAGTAGAATTGTTCCAATAAAATGACCGCAGGATTTCTTACGCAGCGATATCGATGAAATTTTGTAGAACCGTAGTTTTCAATGGTTTACCACAATAAAAATCATATTCCCACATTTCTCAAGTGTTGTGTGACTGTAAAGTTTCTAGCTTGGTAGTTACAAATTCCAAATTACGACAATTTAATTACAAATACAGTGAACGTAGTCGATTCGAAAGAAATTGGGAAGAGGAACATAAGGTAACAACAGTATGGTTACATTATGGTACAAAAGGGTGATTAAAATGTCAAAGTCTTTGTATTTTTCATCCGCAATAGCCGCGCGGGAATAATGATCGTTACCCGCGCGTACGTTTCGAGCAAGCCTTTTACAAGTTTACATTTTTCATGGGCACTTAATATGTAAACAACACTCACAAATTAGAGTAAAAATGATATGTTCGCTGGCAGATTCTTTTTCCATGTGCTGTCAATTACAAAAGTTCTGTGTACGTGTAAACGGAAGGTAGACGCTGCTACCTTCTTACTTTCAATAGTTTAAATCAACCAGTTGAAATTGTTCGATGCAGATTTCAGTAGTCCCTTGAGCCGTTGTTTCCATTTCTGGTCGACGGCGACCTACGTTCGATTGATCATGCAGCTTGAAAGTCTCATGGGAATCGGTGGTAAAATTTTGGCAACGGGCACACTAAGATCCGTATACGCGAGTCACGTATATACAGAAGGATGCCTAGAATACAGTCGGGCGGGATTCAAATACATATTTTGAATATAACCGACGTTCTCCGTGAAGAATTACTGTCATCCGTTTTGCTTCTCGTGCACACCGTTCTCGTGTGGTTTCAATGGCTTTATCACATCTACTTCGTTCAATTGTTCTATGTCCAACTGTTGCTTTTTCTCCTTCTTCGAAGGTTTCCTAGAGCAACACATTCGTCGTGGTAAAAATCGGGACAATACGAACAAATGTATAGTTTTAATAAGGGTTAACATACTTTCCAAACAGTTCACCGTCCTGTATGGATTCTGGAAGCTTCTTGTTCAGTGTTTCTGGAAGGAGCAATGACATCACCCCACCGGAAAGCACGCACGATCCAAAAATAACGAACGGTAGAGGCATCCAGATTTCAGACTGCAAAATAGAGTGACGATGGTCAATTGGAAGCCGTAGTTGCACGTGTTCAGAAATATTCCCCGTTCTAATGAACTACGGGTCTGACGTTGTGTTTGTGTTTCATAACACGACACCGTATAATTATTTACCAAATGAATGACGTATGGGGCAATCACACCGCCGATACGAGCGAAAGTTGAACTCGCTCCGAGACCGACGTTTCGAATCACCGTGGGAAATTGTTCGGCGGTGAACACATAAATAGCACCGTAGGACGATGTGATCGTTAGTTTACCGATCATGGCGAGACATACGACAAGCCACTGAGCATCTAAACAAAAAAAGAGGAAAAAAAGAAAATAGAAAAGAACCAGCACAACAAGGTTTAAAGATGCTTCACGGAACAAACAGGAATATTAAAAACGATAGTTTTTTTTTTCAACTGACCAGCAGGTACAAATAGGATAGCGAGCAGCGCCACGCCGGATATTAACATGCAGCCGCACAGGATTATCTTCCTGCCCCAACGGTTCAGGGTGAAAATCAGAAATGTATACGCAGGTATTTCCACCAACCCGGAAATGACTAAATTAACGTAGATGTTACCGCCGAGGTTGGCCACGTGCCAAGAGAGTCCGTAGTAGGTGCCGCTATTTACAAGCCTGGAAAGTATAGAGGAGAGATTTACTCGCTTTAATTCCGGATAAACGGAATCGTATAATGTAAAACGGAAATTTTGAATATTAGAAGAGAGATTCTGAATAGTGGCAATAATGATCTTTTAAAGAACCAAGACGTTAAGGCAAAAGAAAAAAAAAATTTTAAAGATTTGCTTCGCTATAAACAAACTCAAAAACATATTACTGTCCTTTTCACTGCCTACACAGCGCCGGATCAAGGGGGGGGGGGTCTAGGAGGGGCTTAGCCCCGGGCCCCACATTCCAGAGGGGTCCTGTTCTGAACCTTCCATATCGTTATGATTAAATGTTATTTAATTTTATTTCAAATAAATGTCAATTCTTGAAGATTTATGTATTTTGTTGTGCTGAATTAGAACCCCCCGCTTTTCAAGCAAAGGGGCCCCCGAAAATTTGATAGGGGGGCTACAAAAAATCTTAACCGGGCCTGGCTCTACGGCATGTGAACGGATAACGTTCTCTTTCCTCCTTTTCTAGATTATAAGAAAAAGTTGTGATTAAGTGGAAGTGTTACAAAGACTCGATATGATACGGAGGAAAGTCCTTCCAGCGACCATGTCGAATCAGTGTCATTTGTTCGGGGGTTCGGTAAGCTTGATCGTGATCCAAAATGAACGTTACCAATTGAAAAACAGTAATATACTTTTCCGCCTCATGTTTGGATATCGGAAAAGATCGAACAGCGACGGTTTCTTGTAGTCCGGCGCGCTGTCCTCGCTGTTGTTATTAAGAAGCGTGTCCAGTGCCTCGCTGGGCATCTCTACGCCGTTTTCTAAGGAGGCACGTTGAAGAAGATCTTTCGCTTCTTGTACTCGACCTGTGGTTAGTAGCCAACGGGCGGATTCAGGGATGAACCTACGGGAAACACAGTTGTTAACGGTGACATTTAAGAGAACCGTTGACAAGGTACGTTTCGTTCGATAGGAATACAGTAAATCATCGATGAGTGTGCGAAGGCTCCTTTGCACTGAGTGTTCAAACGTTTTGTAGAAATCTGGGCGTCTTATCTCGCGTAGACGACAATGTGTGGTGAACAACATGAATATATACATGTGTACAAATTTATATATTTATGTTATTATGTATATACTTGTATTAAGTTGTTATTTGTATGTTTATTTATATAATAACGTCGCCGCGAATTAGTTCCAATGAGCGCCACACGATGTGCAGGGCGTATATGTGCTGTCTCTACGCGAGACCAGACTCCTAGATCTCTACACCGACGGGGTATAAGAATAGACCTTTCATCCAGTGCATTTCTTCGGCCTAGTTTACTGGGGCAACGTTATCCCATTTCCGTTTTAGTGTCACTACCCGCCGTCGATTCACCGTTCTCGAAATGTAGAGGTCACGAAAATTACAGGCTTTTTAAGGTGTCGGTACTGCAGTTTAGGTGGGTCATTAACTCCCATAAGATGAAAGGTTTACTCTTATACCTCGTCGGTGATCTCTACAAAAATTCGTCAAGTTCATGATTAAAAGTAGCTACCCGTTGGCAACTCTGGTGCCGAGGATCCTTCGAACACTCATAGATGATTTACTGTATAACAGACAGTCTTACCACCAATAGAGAAGGAACGCAATACTTGGCACGGTGATAGCAATTTGTAGGATTCTCCAGTCGGTTATTAAGTATGCAAAACCAGCGGTGAGTATGTATCCAGTCGTGAAGAACAATTGGCAACCGACTCCGGCTACCAAACGCTTCCTTGGGCCTACCATTTCCAGGGCTGAAAAGCAACGTTACAGTATCCACGGTAATATTAAATGTGTGGTAACGCAAAGAAATTCCGGCAATCTAATTTTATAATACATATACATATACAGGGTGTCCCAAAATAGGTGTATGCACTTGAAAGGGGTGATTTGAAACAATTATTTCCTTAACGAAAAGGTTCTCGGGGTTTTTCGTGAATATCTAGTTAAAAAATCCTCGGAGAACTTTTTCGCTAAGGAAATAGTTGTTTCAAATCATCCCAGGAATCAACCCTTTCAAGGACTTACAACTATTTTGGGACACCCTGTACATATTACATGTATAATATTAAATCAACCGATAAGTTACTGTTCATTTTATACGTGTGTATGTGGTGTTGTAACAATTTACCAATGACGTAGGCGACTAGAAAGACCCCACTGGTGGTCGAGCCGACTATTAACCTGAAGATAACGTAGGAAATAAACTCGGGTGCAACCGCGACTAGTACACCGCCGACCAGCTGTATGACTAAAGACAGGAAGAAAATTGGTCTACGCCCATATTTATCGGACAAACCACCGAATATCATCGAGCCAAGCATGACTCCTACCATGAACAACGAATCCCCCGTAGCTCTCAGCCATGCCTTGTCGCAAACTAAGTCCCACTAAAACGAAGTAAAATAATAAACGATTACGTTAAATGTCAATCTGTTGACATTTTTAACTAGCCACAGAACTAGCCATAGAAAAAAAAAGAAACGAAACTCGATGTACCTCAGAGGTGGTGGTACTTTTGTACATGCTTCTGTCGTACACATATCCCTCGCACCTCTTCAGGCCTTGGGTGTTGAGACCGATCGGCGAGAAGGGCTTCTGGATCGGCGAGTCGTCGGTCGACGTGTCGACGTACCTGTCGATCATCGACTTGTTCATGGTATCAGATATGTCGTTCCTGTAACATTGCGACCATCCGTCCATCTCGTAGTCCCATGGATAGCTCGCATTAATCACGCTTTGCGACAAGAGGTACGTGGCGTTCTCCACGTTCTCGTGCGGCAGCACACATCTGAAAGGACCAATACCTGTTCGTTAATACAACCAGGGACTTCTACCGAAATGTGAAATACCGGTATTTTCGGTTGTATTTTCGCCCTATATAACCCCATATAAGCCTTACCCGTATAGAAATCGAAAAAATACCGTTATTTATTTCGGTTTTCGGTAATATATTGGTTTCGGTGTAGCTTTGATGGTATAATACCGGTATCAAAATCATACCGGTTTAAGTCCCTGAATACAACATACCGTGAAATGAGTCTTTTGGTTCCATTCAAATCTCTTAAATAGTAACAGAGAAAAAAAACGATAAAGTTTATGACTTTTAGTCTCATACTACTCTTAAACAAGGGCGTAGCGATCTGAGATTTTACAGAATGGTTTTTCAAGTGAAGAATATTGTTTAGGAAACAGTAACAAAAAAAATTGTCATGGAGGCCACTTGCCTATGCTTAACCTGTTAGACTCTTTCTATTCGCAAGTGCTAATTTCTTTAGTTTTTTTTCCTCATTCATCCCTGACATTTAGTACACTCGTTTAAATAAATCGGACGAAACTTCAGGGAGAAACAATGGAATTAGTCGTTTGAGGATCTAAGAGCGTGACCTTGTGACGCCTTCGCAAACGAAGACACGCGTTAATTTTTTTTTTTTTGGCGAATATTTGTACGCGAGATGAGTTCAAGGTCCATATTATTGAGAGCCAATGAAATCCTTTCTCCTGCTTCAAATCGTGCGAGCCTTCCGAGTACGATAAAATTTGGCACGAAATTGACATTCCAGATCTGGTGTGTGATGTTAAAAAATAAAAGAAAAAAAAACGAAATTACGACATACAAGAAGTTATTATCATTAATCGGGTTTCGATGTGCCAAATACTTTCCTCCCGAAATACACAGCGGATTATACCGTACAGGTGCGTTTCGTTATCGTTACACGTTTCGTTTTATTTGCACAAGATCAGGCGAATTATTCTCATTGATTAATTGAGATGTCTCTGTCTTTTTTTTTTATCATTTCGAACACTCTCGTCGCGTGGCACCGTTTCTTTTTTGCTTTTCGTGCGAAACAATTTGTAAGAACCACCGTGTAGCTGCTGATCGAATTAATTCTAAATAAATATTTAATGTGTTCTTGAAAAGAGAAAACAAATAAAAGATATACACACAATGTTCCGGAAAATTCGAAACTCACGTCATAAGCTACCGTACACGCGTAACCTTGATATGACCTTGAGTTTGTACAAAGAGGATTTCAATGACCTTTGATATTGTGACCTTCAGGTGTCAAATCTACATGATATATAAATACGTGTGTATCGGACCTGGCATTCATTTTCGCGCCCAGGAAGACACCGGCGATCTTGTGGAACGCGCAGGATATCGCGGGCAGGCACAGCAACAGGTAGATCCTCCGCTGGTAACGTCCGAACTCTCCCATCCGCAGGATAACATCGTCGTACGCCATTTCTCCTTGATGCCACGGACACGTCTCCGTTTACGTCTTCGGCTCGCCGTGGTCCGTTTCCTCGTTGATGCGCACCCGAAGCAATTCCTTCCGTCCCACGGATCCGTCTCTACTACGACGATGATCTTCACGTGGATAGATCCTCTGTCCTTTGGACTAAATTCAACGATCGGCCACAAATGATCGAAACCGCCCAAAATCTTCTTTCGCCTCCAACCTCTTCTACCCCAAGAATCCTTTTGTCGAGCAAAACTTCGACACTATTCCTCGTTTCTAGGTTATAGAAAATGTCCACTTCCGGTTCCTGTTGGGTTAACTTCAAATCTGGCCTGGGTGAATGAGATTCTTCGATTTATATCATGCTCGACAGATGATCGTTTTTTGCATTAGGGGACACCACGGTTCTCGAGATACGATTCGGTTGATTCGAGATTCAGGGTCCCTGGAATGTCTTCGTTTATCGTGTTAAAGGATTCGTCGAGATAATCAGGTGGGCGATGGACGGGGCAGTTGGCTGCTGGCGTCTCGGATCCTGGCGTTAGTGGGTCTCTCAGCCTGGAAATTGGAGATTAAATGGTTTTGAGTTATCTAGGTTGTTTTCGTTTTTCTTTTAGTGCGGTATTGCCTCTGTTGTTGTCGCTGGAAGGGAATACGTGGTGGTGATTGGTGTGAAAGATGGTTAGGTTGTGAATTGGACTGAAAGTTGTTGGAATTATTGGATATGGAGGTCGTGACAAACAGTGAAGGAGTTACTGGACAATGATCGAGACGTTACTGTACTTTCTATCCGCAGTTTTCTAGTAAGCTTATCTAGTGGATAATGTTCGAGATGACAAGAAATAGAATTGTTCACATCGAAATTCCTCCATTTTGTCAAAAATATTTCTTTTTTGCATCTTATGAAAAAGCTTTGTTCTTTATTATATTTTACAGACCTCTATAGGCTATAAATGCATTAAATCCGCAGTCTGGTAATAGTCGACAAAAACGAGGAGAGCTCTGCATCGAACTCACGATCGTTCCTCCCAGATATCATCGTGGAACATTTCATTGAAAAGAGAGAGAGAGGAAGAGATACATATCTCGTGTATTACGCGGCCGCGACAGGTATTGCGGCACCGTTGTGTACATGTGTTATCGAATCATTAATAATGCAAATGAACTTGACGCGGGCTCGGTCACTTTTACTGGTTCCAACGAGACCTAACCGCGGGACCGTGTCATATATGGAAGAGGGGTGCATATAACGTTCTCTGCTCGAATTCCAACGGAACACAGAAGAGGAAAGTGGGATTTAATGCCGTGGCGGACGGAAAATGTATCCTCGTCGCTTCCGCGAGGTTACGACTGAAAATGGGGATTTCGTATAATTATACCATACGGTTAACGCGTATAATTAGACGACGACGGCGGTGGCTGCAGCCGGTTTGGTACAATACTGTGTCATGGCGGTCACGAGATTGGCGAAGACACAGTCTAATGGAATAGTTATTGTTTCTTCTAAATGTAGTTCATAGATAATGTTTTGATGGTTACCTTGATCTTTTTTAAGTGGAACACCATATATTTCTTTACGGAAATTAAACAACTTCAAACGCGTTTTCCTCGGGGCACACTTTTCGGAGGATTGTCAGCACGATAACTCCGTCAAATTTCAATATTTTTTTTACGAATTTCGTACACACACATTGCTGATAAGATTATGTTCGACATATCAAGCCGTTTTGCTTGATTTTTTTAATTTTTCCGATTTCTTTCATTTTTGCAGGATTCTTCATACGTTTTCGCGTAAATAACCGCGGTCCGCTTGGAGACACAGGATGGTAATGATTTCTCGATTTGTCTTATATGAAACATTAATTTTTTACTCGGTTTAGGTAGTAGAATATGTTCGATGCAATATTTTCTGAACATCTGTGCACACACCTCTCAAACAGTTATACAATTTCGTTTAGTACTTCCTGAAGAAAGTACATTGCGGTCCGACGAGTCGAACGAGAAACAGGGAATGACTTATCGATGCCCCAGGTTCCACTGGACCAAACCGAAACGATCTTTTTCGAATTGTGTTGTCTGCGTAGCTTTTGGGATTCACTTTCGATTTCGACAAAAAAATATTTACGAACAAATTTTTGCAAAATGCCTCTCCTTGGAAATATATACATGTATATTGTCGAAGACAACGTGTCTACGATGTGTACATTAATGAACTTAGTTAACAAGCTTCCGTCAAACGATTCAAGGCCGTCGCAGTCTTGTGTCAATAACCCATGTGTCTCAGAAATTCACGAACATTTCACGAAATTCGTTTCTCTTCGTCTAGCTCCGACAGCATTTAAATGATCCACGACCGCCGGAAATCCCAATAATCAAACCTCTTTCAATCCCTTTCTTGTCGAATCTACCGACGATATAACTACCAACGTTGAAAAAAAATAATAATAATTCTATACACCCTGTATAGAATATACAACAATTTTTGCAAAATATTCTACGGTTCTAGAAATATATATATATATATATATATTTTCATCTTTAGAGAAGGATAAAAACATTTATAATAAATTGTGAAACAACATATACTCAGCTATTGACATAATAATATTTCCATTGATGAAACGCTTGAAAGAAGATGAAACGTATAATTTGTTAAAAATATAATTTGTCGTTTAAATCATGTATCAGTAGAGAACTCTAGTACAATGCTGTGTGAATGAAACGATGCTGTCTGTAACAATCGTAACATTTAAAGTGGTTCGCCCTGTACATACAGTTGGTAACAAAAGTATTCGATCACCCTTTAAAACAGAACAACATTTTTAAAATTGATCCAAGTGACTTGAGTTCTTCCTTAAAGTTAGCAACATTAGTTTACTAAATGATCTGTAAAAAAAATTTGAGAACTTGCAATTTATCGGAATCGCGAAGAAAACAGCAACGATTGCTTGTCACAATTTTTTGATTTGAGTCTGTAATGAAAATTTAATACATACATTTCGATGATTTGTATCAGTTACATACATGTTGAAAATTTTATTAAAACCTGTTAACGTTGCTATGAGATAAAAACGATTAAAAATGTTGAAAATCATAGTTTTGCGCGACTTTCGACCAACAACTGTAGTAAATCTAACAATTCTGACATCTTTTGATGCCTGTCGCTCGTTTCTGTATCAACCGATTTCAATAAAAGTTTCACTATGTATATAACTAACATAAATATTCGACATGTATTTATTAAATTTTCAGTATAACCTCAGATTAAAAAGTTGTGAAAAGCGACCATTACTATTTTTTTCGCGATTCCGACCAATTGCAACTTTTTGAATTTCTTTTTTTACACATCATTTAGTAAACTAGTGTCCTTAACTTCACAATAGAACTCAAGTCATTTGGACAAATTTTAAAAGTTCTGTTTTAAAGAGTGTTCGAATACTTTTGTTGCCCACTGTATATGTACCGCGCCCGGTTGTTTAATAAGTGATACTTGACGCTTGGGCCCGTAAGTCGGCGAGCTGCGAGCGGCAAGAATCACCGAGGGCGTTGTGTACATATAATTGACACAGAGAGTGGTGGGAACACGACGTGGGGCAGAGTAGGGGGAAGGCCCGTAAGCCGAGGCCTGCGTGTTGGATAGCGCTGTTGTAAATACTCGTAAATGCCATTCGTTGTTAACTCTGTTGCTTCGTGTAATGCAATAAATAAATAGCAGTTCGATACAAGCGATCAAGTGTATGATATCGTGGTAAAATTCGCATAAAAGTCAACGTACACTTAAATATCGCGTGTTGTAAATCTATCGGTTTAATAGACTACTGAAAATTTATGGGAACGCATTACACATGCGCGATTGGTTTTTTTTTTTAAATAGCTTTTAGAAGATAATTAGTATACAAGAATGCCTAAGTAAGAATCATTCGAGAATACATGTATATTTATATGGTATTCTAATGATTCGTAAATGTATATATCAGGTTCTTTTTTGACAATTTTAATTGAAATTCGAGCGATTATTCATCGAACGCTGAATTTATAATATTCTTTGTTATATCATTGAATAACACGTAGACAGACGAACGGTTCAGTACTTCTGGTTACTTTCTAATTGAGGAAAGCCGAAATCACGTTCACTAATAAGAATCATTCGCGGACAATGTGCATACTCTCGTGAACGTCACATGTTACCACCACTTTGCTAGAAAGACATTAACAGAAGAATTTAATCAGCTTTTAACGATGTTATAATGACTTTAGGTGACTAAGATATTATTTCTTCTGTGGGATCGAGCACGTAACGACAGGGACGACCAGTACACATAATTATGAAAGAAACAAAAATGACACCTGAAAATTCCAGTAACTTTCTCCGCTTAATCGATAGGCGGGAGAATTCAAATTTTAAGCTGAAACGTTACTACCAGAACGAAGGATGCAAGATGCACGATATTTTGCCACCCCTTCGATCAGCATTTACAACTCTAAAGATAAAGAGCTTGATGTTGATTCACAAACTACAAAAATTTGTTCAGTTTAAAAAACCCCTCCGTACAACAAATTTAAAATGTACTAGACAATATTCCTCCATTTTCACGCGCAGTATTTGCAATTTAACACTAGAATTACCAGCAGTGTATATATATTAAATTAAATTGTATAATACAATGATATACAGAATATATAAGACAATCTATCATAACATACCATAAAATAAAATCTTCAGTAAATTAAAAGCCAACCTAAATTCCGTCAAAAGCACAATTATAATTTGCTAAAATAGTAAATCTGTAATCCGTCATTTTGACTAGTTCTAGTGTTAAAAAAGGAATCTCGAAAACAACTAATTTTTCAGATTTCATCGATCCAAATCATTGTTCAGAATCGAAGCCCACCGTTCCATATTCCACAATCCAGAAAATAATATCATTTTTACTCTTAGCATCTATTTATCTTCTACAATACCAATCATCCCCACCCCCCCGAGTCTCACCCTCGATCCTCGATATGCAGTCGCACCAACGGCTAAAATTCGTCCCAAGGTCACCGGGGTATCTACAAACCAATAACTTCATCAGAGGGTAAGGGCCCGAGGAGCGAGCAGGAGTCACTGGACTCGTGAACAACGTCACGTGTCTCTATTACTCTATGTACTCCGTGGTGGTGAGCATCGACCGGAGGCTGTTCCGGTTGCGAAATACTTTTTACTGATCGTATACACCGGTGGAGAGTCGAGCGCACCGTTGGTAAAATAGACACGGATGAGGCGGGTGTCACACTTGTGTCGAAAAAAAAAAGGTAAAGAAAAAAACAGTGTCTCACTCCCGGTCTCTGGATGAATCGCGGTAACGAAACGACGCGCACGAAGGACCGACCACGACTGCGCCGGCACCGGTTCGTTTTGCCCGGCGTGTTGTACGTTGTACACGGTAGGGAGGGGGGAGGGAGGGCCAGAGAAGCGTATATGACCGGCGGCCTCGACGGTGGCACTGGTGGCAGTGGCGCCGCAGCCACCACCATCGCACGAACCCCTGCCGCCACCCCCGTCTCCTCCGCGCCTT